GTCTTGGAGGAAGTCACTCTTGCAAGCTGAAGCAGGGAACTGCTAAGGCAGCTGCACCCGATACAACCATCACAAAACAAGAGACCCGAGAACTCGAAAGGTGAGGCTTCACCACCCATTTATCCCTCCGCCTTTCAACCAGCACCACATGTGATTATCGGCCAGGCTGGCACAATTAACTAACTCACTAGGGTAGGCAATGAATGGAAAAACAAAGGGGCTGGGGGATGGGTAAGCAGGGGAGGAGAGATAGTGGAAGAAGGAACTCCACAAACTCATCCTCCTTGACTTGCTGCTGACTCCTAGTGCCCTGAAACTCTTCCCAGGAAGAGAAAGCCCAAACCACAGCTCACCAAGCCACTAGTTCTCCTTCAAGAACCACCGCGTGTAGTCAAGTAATTTCTTATACATTTTGCCATTTCTTCCTCCAGAAGGTTTTCTGTATACTTATTTGGATCATTTGCCATCATCTTTTCCTGTTGCATTTGTGATCTGCTATTGTCTGTTGTCGCCAAGTTAGTAAGATATAATTATATCTATGTTTTGTGTGTCTGATATGTGTGGATCTTTTGGTGTATTAAAGTAGGTGGGGCATCCATGCTCCTTTGATGTGTCTGCTTTGGAGCTTTGGCCAGCTCTCTCTCCAGCTGAGTGGGACAAGGCTCTTGTGAAGGATCATAGACCTCTCTTTTCTGTTCTTGTGAGGAAGTTGAGCATTTACCTGTTCTTGACGGTGAGGTGATGTGTTCGATCAGCCAAATGCCTGGTTGTAGGAGCAGAGATCATTTATCACTTGTTTCTGTGTTGGGTGTTATGTTATAGAGTTATTCATTCAAGAACATTTTTTACACATATATCAGTACTTAGAGAATAATGCGGAGAATAATGATGTTTCAATATTTCCTTTTTACTCTGAAATTACTAAAGTAGAAATATTATAGATAAGACCTTAGAAGAGACAAGGCAGACATACATGTTTTACCCAAAATAAAACAAAGAAATAACTTAAATAATTGTATTCAAAAGTCATGTCTGTGGGTATATTTTGCATAGAGATGTGGTCAATATAGCAACATGGAGTGATTAGATGAACATCAAAAGCCCATTCACATCAAAACAGATATTTGATTAATTATTTCGACTTCACCTGCAGGATGAATTATCTTTTCTATAATCTTCCTTTGCTAGTCTTCTTTATCTTAAGCACGTATAGAAATGAGTGTAGCGATCTCTTCATGTTATATTTGTTTCTTAGTAATCTTATCCAGTCTCTGGGGTCTACATAAAACCTACATATTATAGTCTCCTATGACTAACTCTAAAATAAAATAAGCTTCTAAACATATTCTTTAAGTTATTCTCAGCTTCTTCACATTTCCATTTGATTATAATAATTCTCAAACTCAACATGTAGTTCTCAAATTTAACATGTGAAGAATAGCCTACAGGTCTTCACCTCTCCAAACATGATCCAAGTATAGTCTTCCTCATCATAGATGATTAAAGCTCTGTTTTTACCAGTAGTGAAGCTGAAATTTTTCATTTATAGCAATGTTCATTCTCAGTTGTGGAAGATATTCAGTTGACACTAAAGTATTCTTATATTTAGAACACTCTCCAATACCTACTTCATCTGGATTCAGTTATCATCCTCCTTTGCCTGGATTAGAATAAAGGCTTACTACATTATTTCTATGCTTGCACACTTAGCATATCCATTTTCTTCCCCTGTAACTCACAAAAGAATCCTTTTAAATGTAAATCATATTGTTCTTTTCTCAACATCTTCATAGCCTCCCAGTTCAGCAGAAGTTAAACAATGTGCAGACAATATAATATAAGGTAGAAGTTAATTATATAACATATTATCGTTAGGTGTCACCAAGTCTGCTACCTGAAGCAAAACAGCATGAAACACTGCATGGTCTTGTGTCATCCTCACTATAGTTCCTATGCCTGAACCCAAGGAGGCAGCCACTGTGTCAATCCATATCATTGAGGGCCTTCCTCTTTATCTCTACCTTTCTACTTTACCACACATGATGTCTTTCTCCAGGGACTGATCTCTCCTGACAACGAGTCCAAAGTCTGCCAGATGATGTCTTGCTATTTTTGTCTTTAAGGATCTCTCTGGCCTTACTTCTTCAAAATTGATCAGTTTGTCCTTTTAGCAGTCTTCTCCAGCACCACAATTAAAATGTGTTGATTCTTCTTTGTTCTTCATTATTCATGGTCAACTTTCACATGCATATAATACAAAAGAGAGTACACTGGCTTGAGACGAAAATACCCTAGCTCTCAAAGTCATATCGTTGTTCTTCGATCCTCTAAAGAGGCCTCTTGCACAGGTTTACCTATTGCAACAAATCTTTTGATCTCTTGACTGCTGATTCCTAGAGTACTGATTGTGGGTCCAAACAAGACAAAATCCATGCCGATTTATCTTTGTTCCACTTATCCTGATGTTACCTATTTGTCTAGTTGTGAGGTTGTTGTTCCTCCTTACATTGAGTTGTAATCCATAGTAGAGGCTGAAAAGTGCTTCAAGTCCTCCTCACTTTAGCAAACAAATTTCTGTCATCTGCATACTGCGGGCTAATAAGCCATCCTCCGACCTGCTGCTGCATTCTTCTTCATATACTCACATTTCTCTGAAGATTTGTTCAGCATACAGATTGAACAAGTATGCTGAGAGGATCCAGCCCTGACACAGACTTTTCACAGTTTTAAACCATGCAGTATCCCATTGTTCTGTTCACAAAATCGCCTCTTGCTCCATGCAGAAGTTCCTCATGAGCACAAT